TAAAAGTCCTTGAAATGGGTCACTCGTGAAGTGATTTGGAACAAGCTTTTTATTACTGTATACAGTAAATCCTCGATGAGTATTCGAAGGCTCCTCGACACTAAACATTAAATATTTCATAAACTAATGGCCATATGCGGGTGAAAAAAATATTACTAGCTTCAGAATTCTAAGATATATTACTGAACTAAACTTCATTAAAAAGTCAGCGTTACACAAGTGACCTCTCCTCGAGAGTCTCTAGAAGCCTTCGAACACTCATCGAGTCTTTACTGTAGCTAAAATAAAAATGAAAATTTTAAACGTAAGAACGAAAGCGTCTGACGTTTACAAAAAATCCCAGCTTTGTGAATCGAACAAGACGAAACCGTCGCTCGACGATTTCTCCTCTGATTCCTCGTCTTCATCGCGCACGAGACGCAGTTTCGGTTTCACGGAGGTACGATGAGGACTGGGGGTGAGGAAGGCCGGTTTACGATTCATAAGACAACTCGGTGGATTGAATTAAGCGAGCGGGTGGCTGCGGCAGCTGCCAGTCCGTTCCTGGTCCGTTCGCGCGCACCCACCGCGAATCTGCATAATCCCGTTCACGTCGACGATTCTAATTGGCGGATTGTTTCAATCTCTGTCGCCGCGAATATTTGCATTGCTGCCTCCTCCCTTCCCGTCCGTTTTCCGCCGGTTCGTCCTACTCTTCCTATTTCATTCCATCAACCACCCCGGCTTCCGCCCCAACCCCTTGATTTTTTTTTCCAGAAAGAGACTTTACCCCTTCCTCCGTGGGATCTTTGCTTATCCTCATCGTCTGTTGGCAGTCTTCCTCGCGAAACTTGGAATTTTTGTTTCTTCCCTCGTGGGAATGGGAGGATCGTGCAACCCCTTCCTCGGGCTTGACGTCACTTCGATGGCTTACTTTTGCCCCTAGGATCGTTTCACGAGAGATCAAACCTCGTATATCGGGTTGACTGGATTGTTTCGACGATTTTTTGATGTTGGATATTTTTTTTTACGCTCTATCTAGAGTACTGGAGACAAAATATAATATGAAGTTAACACTCGACGAATAAATCTGTACCGTATCGCAGAAGGCTGAGTATCTAGTAAAACCAATAGGTCCAAAAATGAAATGTAAGGAAAATACCATATGTACATATCAATTTCACATTTCTGCAATTGGTTCAACCTTAAACATATTACCTGGTTATCATATTATACATAATTATCGATAAATTCTATCAATTCATTAATTCACCGCGTTTAAACCGTTCACGATGGTAATTACACGTAATAACCAGTAATAGTGCCATAATTTCCACTTAACTGCATTTCTGTACACTCGTTAATAGAGATATTCTTTATCTTCTTCTAACACAATTAGCACTACGACGATCCTTTTTCAATTACACGATAATATTCCTTGTATTTTTCTTACGGTTACTGTGTAACTTAAGATAAGGAAAACCATCTTACGTTGACCGATTGGCCCACTAGTATTGTTCCCTACACTAAAAAGTACAAAATATACAATTTTTTTAAAAAAAATATAGACTGGCTTCGAAATGTGCTAAAAAATAGGAATATTTTTTTATGCTTAAATATTGTTAAACCACCCTGGCGTAGCCTAACTACACACAACAACACAGATTCGTTCCTTTTAATATACTTACCATCACAAGCGTCCAGTGGAACTATGACACAGCACTTGCACATTTATCCAAACACCTTTTTCTTATTTTCTGGATTTCGAACCACTACATTAAAACAAAACGACACTTCGAAGTAACACACAGTAAAATTCACTGCCACGATCGTACCATCATTAAAGGAAAGGAATAACTGACGGTTCTCCGGAGGGGGTTGAAACCCGACCATAAATGCGGCGTAGGGAGTTGGTGGTGGGGAGGAGCCGAAAGTGTTTACTACAATTTTAAAAAGGACACTTAAATGGAATATTACAGGGGCAGGGAGGTTCTGGTGAAAATATGTGTTACCGTTGACTTTCAGAAGGGATGGCCCCGCACGCCACTAAAAATAAATTGTTTCGTTCGCGGTGAATCCGAAAGTAAATGCTCGCGGAACGGGACATTTCGTTTTTCTTTTTTTTTTTTTCACCGCGAAGCTTCCTTATCGTTCCTCCTCGGTAATAGAATAAAGGAACACGACGCGATGGAAATTCCGCCCGGTTTTTGCATAATTGACGTATTCTCTCGGCCGTTCGCCGACGCGGAATTATTTTACGCGGGGATAATGCGATTCGAATACGGACGAGGAAGTGTAGACGACGCTGTGTAACGTTTCCGCGGGAGATGTAAATTCGAAGCAGTTCCTTCGGTCACGGTTTCTTATCGTAAATTGTCGGGGAAGATTGTCAGGAAAAAAAGAAACGCGAGAATAGATAAACGGGAACGTCGACGACACGGGGATGGAGGATCGCGATCTTGATTTTCTTGGAAACTCAAGATCCTTCCTCCAGGGGTGGTTTTGGTAACTCGAGAACAGTCAAAGCAACGGCGATCACGGTGAATTTTATGAAGCCTTTCAAATGTCCTGTTTGGAAAGGAGAGTCCACAGTGGTAAGCAATGGAAACGCGTCGTCTATTGTCTTGTCGCGGATCCGTTGCTTGGGGAGAGAGAAGAACAAAAATCGTTCCTCGTCCCCCAACCCGAGGGAGTCTTCCAGAAAGAGGCCTGTGCATCCGGTGGCTTTCTGCCCTTTCATGTTATACCCTTTCTCGTTACGACCAACGATTAAAAAGTCCCGTCGAGCGTACGGCGCGTCTGAAATATTCGAGTCGATGGTGTGGATCCACACGATTATTCGGAGATATTACCAGAGATGATTTTTTTTCCATAGATCGACTTGCAATTGATGTCCTGGCGCGAGTAACTGAACAAAATGAGGAATTTCATGAATTATAATCGATGTTTGATATATGTAGAATATCAACTGAAGGTAACCTCGAATTAGTTAAATTAAATCAGAAAAATAGTACCTTTTTTGTCCGCTACATGGAATACTGTAAATTAATCTGGAAAGTCTCAAAGATAAATCTGGAATATTCGAACGCGTTAACCAACGTAACGGCCGCCATATTGGATTCACATTCACTGTAAAGTAACGTAAAAAGCGCGAACAGTTAACCTAAACGAATTTCATTTCGATTATTCCAAATAATACGATCATTCGTCTCCGATTTCTAGCCATGTCGGGTATTGTAATCTAATCGCGTCATTTAAAATAAATAAGGGAAACTTACATTGTACTTACCTGTAAATCGAACGAAGTGAATCGCGTGTGATCGACCACGAAAGAAACGAGAGGATTTTCATCGGTTCGATGATGACGTCGCGACAGAAACGGCCAGAATTATGGGCAGGACGTGGCTCGAGAGCACGGGCGACGAGCTCGTATTTATCACGAAGAGTAAAACTGACAGCAGTCCATTTCCTGTTCGTCCTGCCTGTCTGGCTGAACATAATATCTCCTGACGAAACAACGTGGACGCCGTTTGTTTGGGAAACAATGGACCGAAACAATGCCCAATCCCTCCTCGGTCTGCGGACACGGATACGGACCGCCATTCTGATTTCCACGCCCTGTTACTCTCTTCAGTCTTTCTATCGCGAGGAAATCTTTCCAAGACTCCAGGGGGAGCTTTGGTTTCGACGGAAAAACTTTCTTCGTCCAGACGTTCCGTTGCGCGTAGATATTAAATACATCTTCCTGTATATCCGAACACCTGTGACGTTCCGAGGGATATTTCCTTTTTTACTCTTCTTTACAGGCAATATATTTCTGTCACAATGATGGAAACATAAGAATCCTGGAGGCTGTATACGTATATCTTTCTTTGTTGAAGAAATTATCTAGAAATTATATAAATTTCGCATATAGCCGATGGTTCGGCGATAGGAAATTTTCACTTGTTTGCTCGCGAGACTGTGGAATCCAAGACGATTCGAAGATATTATAACTACATTAATCACTGCGGGGTCTGTCGGATCTCGGGGACATTCCCTCTAATTACTATTTGTCCCCGCCGCGATTGTTCATACAACCGCGGCGCGAAGTTTAATTGAAATACCTACGAGCGTGGATTCTCATTAACGATTTCACGGGGATTCCTCCCGAGGATTCCGCGCCAAGACATCCGGGCGAAACCGAACGTGCACTTGACAGAAATTAGTAATCCTTAATGGATGATGCGACGCGAGGCTGGTTTCATCGTCGTCCCATTCCCGTCGTAGGCGGGCGCCCGGTTTCCTTCGTCTTAGACTCAACAACGGCGGATATTCAATTAATTTCGAGAGACAATAGTAGCTCGCTTCCGCTCCGCTGATTTGTACATACCCAGCTCCGTGTTTTGCGCGACCGATTATTGGGGAGAGCCAACCGGGTGCTGACTGTGCCGTCAAATGAGGCTAAAACTGCTGTTCAAACGTGTGCTTCACGATTTTTCGGAGTTGTATTATTGTCAATGATTTTTCTATAAAAGAAAGGGAATCGTAAGTTATCGTTGTTGTAGACATTACTGCGGGGAGCTGGAGAAGTTGGCACGCAGGAGGTTATCCCACTGCATTACAGCCAATTAGAGACGACTACCATCTCCTCAGCTTCCAACTTCAGACTTACTCCGACGATTAAATTTTAACAGCAGCGAGATAATAATATTCTCCCTGTAAAGTCACTCCGATTGGTTACCAAAAAAGATATCTTACACAACAGTTGACACGATTTTGCGATCAGTTCGATTATCCGATTAGCTTGCTTCTGATTGGCCTTCCTGCTACAGGCTATCGCCACGGGATAATAGGGATCAGATCACGGTGGCAAAACATAACGTTACATTTGAACACTGTATTCCCCTTTGGATCGACTGAAATCCTAAAAAAAATTGCTTCATTATCTTCAACCAAAGAATCACAAGCACTTTCCACTTGGTCCTTAATATTCCAAAATGCTTTCGAATTTGTTCAGCTAGCATCGAGGACCGTCCATCATGACGACAACCACAGGTGAACCGTCGACTCTGAAGACGCCAGCCTCCCTGTCCGGCGGCGATCTAGTCTCCCGTCTGTTGGCAGCGACGCCTCCTTACCTGTACAACGTGCCGTTGACACCTCACAGCTTCTTCTTCAGCGAGATGCTGCGTTCGTTCGTCCAAGCGAAAGCGGAAGCTTCGTCGGTGGGCACGACGAGTAGCAGCGCGCCTAGGCGTCGGAAGAGATCCTGGCGGGATGCCCGTGATCGTCCGTTGGAATTAACCACCAAAGAGAGGCAACTCCATCACCATCATCATCATCACCAGCAGCAGCAACAACAGCAACAACAACAGGAGAAGTATTTTCACGCGCAACAATCACAACAGACGGAGACACGTTTAGAGAACAGGAGCAAACCAACCGACGCGTACGATCCCGAGAGCAAAATGGCGGCGTTCGAGCAAAAACCGACGTTCGCCGGTGACATATTGAAATCAACGGACGACACAAAGTCGGATTTCAGTAAACACACCAAGAATTACTTCGACGAACGGCCCCGTCACTTCGAGCCGTCTCAGCCTCCAGAAAACATGTTCGCAACCGAGCTGCAAAAGGTTAAGCCGGAAGAGACGCACTCTGTCGATCGTAAGACTTGTAGTTACACCGACAGAGGGCCGTACGACGAGCGCACGAAGAACTCGATCGGTAATCAAGAGCTGCCGATGTTACCCGATCAGAAGAAGCTCGATTTCTCGAGAAACTTCCTACCCGGCCTACCCGCGAGAGGCTGCGACATGCTGCAAGGCGTCAAAGGTTTCGGTCTGCCTGGAAATGTGTCGAATCCGGAATTCTTGCCGAATCCCCTTTGGTACCCGCCTTATCCGATGCCGCAGTCCTATCCTGGTATAGATCCACTACATTTCTTCATCGATCTCCGTGTCTCTGGACATATCTGGGATCGGAAGCTCAGCGAGAGACAATTACCGTTCAAGGGAAAGCACTGCTCGGCGTTCAGCGTGCCCCAGTCGAAGGAGTACAGCAGTAACAGGCCGTTGAATCTGACCAGGGACGAGGCGGGCACGTCGAGGAGCAACGAGGAGAATTCACATGGCACCAATTATATACTGAGACACCTGACCAGGACGTACAGGAACATCAATCAGACGCAGAAAGTGTCGAGGAGCGGAACGTCGACGGAGGAGACCGAGGAGAGCTCGAAGGAAGTTGATAACAGTGAGTGTCTGAATTCGTGGGTTTTTTTAAGTGAACGTCCCCTAATAACCAGTTATGTACATGTTCCGAGAAAGTTGCCAGCAATAAAGTACAAATGTTGTCTAAGAAACCATAGCCATCTATTTCCGCATTTGACTACGGTTTTGTAGGCAACGTTAGATATCAAAATAGTATAGCAAATTGGAAGAAAGTCTTGCTACAAGATCTATGTCGAGTTGAGGGCGAAACAAGGTGGCGAATCTTGCATCAAACTTGTAGCCGTAACTTTATAACAGGCATTGAACAAAATTTGGTTTGGCAAGTTTGGCTGACTGGGTCGATACGAATGGATTCGAATTGTTCTATGCATGTCTTCGCGCGTCGATGTCGTTTGGATTCGTGTGAAGTATCCAGTATGATGTACAAAAGGTCGTTAAAATTATTGTGTATTCCAATGTGCACTGGGTCTGAGGAGGTTAACAGTCGACCTTGATTGTCTCGTCTAAAATCTCTTAAAACTGTATTAGCTCGTGAAAAAGGAGGTTTATTAATCAATTTGAAATTCATCAGCCGATAGATTCCCGAAACCGGAAACGCCTGGCGCCACGTCTTCGAGCCAAGAGGAAGGAAGGAAGGATCTACGAGCTCTGATCGGCCTCGAACTAGTCGTCGACTACGTGAAAGAGCCGAAGGGGGATCCGTCGAACGAGCAGACATCGCAAGTAACCGAATAACTCGTGAAAATTCGAACGACTCACTTCCGTTCTCGCCTGTATAAATAGACGTAGCTCCGATTTTTCGCACGGCCGTTGTCGTTCACGGTAATAAATAGGAAGTTTCGGGAATTTTATCGTACCGTCGTCGAAACGATCGAATCGACCGTTCTGTTTTATAATATACAATACAACCATTGACGGTTATAGTGGTGATAAAGAAACCTCTGCTCTATTCGAAAGAAAATCTTCTTTTCTTCATTTCGTTCGGTACACCGTTAGATCGGAACTTTCAGTCGATGCTTTCCGGTTTTAATACGGATTCTCTCTGATCAGGGTTACATTGAAATTCGATTTTCCCGAATCTAACAAAATCGAGCATTCGAGTAACAATTTCATAGCACGATTCTCGCGACTTTTTGATATCACCGTTCGAGTATCGCTGCACCGAGGTACCCGATACGTTTGGTTCCACTTTAACTTGCTCTCAATCTTTACAAAGACTTCTCCCTGTCGTTGCATTCGGGACACGAAACCGAAGAGTCACCCTTCTAGCGAGGAGACGTAGGATCTTGAAGGATCCTTTGGGGAGCAGAGAACTTTCCGCTCCCGAATTCGGCTATATGTGATATACTCTGTATATATAGTAGCGTTCTATTGTATCTATATGCACTAATAGAAAGTATTCGACGTGTATATTAAACGTAATAAAATTAATGCGACTCGAACAAGTGAACGAATTCTATGCTCCTTCCACGATCAGTAGAAATTATAAGCAACCTATTCTAAAAAGAAAAGAACAGCGAAAAACAGCCCAGAAGAAATTATTTCTACGTGTAAAAACAAAGATGAGATGGTTTTCTTTTCTCAACAAAAAACTCCGTTCAGTTGTATATAAATCGCCACTGTCACTCACACTCAAACTCCCAGAGTAAGAAAGCCTTTCTCAGCATCGAATCACCGTTACAAAATGACAAAATTCTGGCATTCAACAAAACCAAAAATTATATTCGGATTAGTAAGCTATAATACCATCATCCGCACACTGTTACAAAATAACATGTCCACAGAATCTAACAGATTCTCAACGAACACAATTCCAAACAATGCACACGAAACCATTTTCATAAAATTCTAACGCAAGAGAGCTATAAAATCACATTTAGCCATTTAATCCTCGTAAATCTACCACAACCGAACCACATCTTCGATTCATTCGTATCCTCCTTAAACCAAAAAGGTGAAATGTTAAAAGCAACGTTAATTCCTCGAGAAGCATGCCCCCTCCCCAACGAGCTAGTTGAACGACAAATATTTTCCTTCTGCCCCCGTGCACGGCCTCGAAATCTGCATTCGCGGGGGGCGTAGAGAGCGAAGGGCGCACTCGAACTCTCGAGAGGGTGAAAAAGCAGAAGACAGAAGGGGATGGCCCCTTCCCTCCATCCGTTCACCTTTTCTGAATACGTCAGGCTCGTTATAATCGAGACCGCCCTCGAAGGAACGCACACGCGAAAGGAGCTGTCGCATTCATCGTTCCCCCTCCCCCTTTCTAGATCACGGTCATGCGTCTCTTTTTCTCTGTGACGTTATTTGGCATTAATAAATAGACTGCAGATTATATGGACTTATAATCAGAAACAAAGAATTTTCTATTTTATTATTCTTCAGCCAATAAGATACTTAAGAGAAGAAAGAAATTCCTACATTTGCTCGTGTCTTTATAAATTACTTTGTAAAATGTAATTTTGCAGAAAAATCTGCAGTCTATTAATAAATTTCCGTGACGGTTCGGGATAACGTTACGCGGCCTAGGTCCCGCTTTGACGAGCGCATCAGGAGACGTACAATTAGGGGAAGTCCACGGATATACGACGCAGCACGCGGTTGTCACAAGAGATACGTGGCTTGTAGGGGGTGACGCTAAATCTGACGATGGGGGACGGGATATCGATCTCGTCTGTGGACTGTGAATCGAGAAGTTCCTGTTCGATCGACGATACGAGTCCATCCGATAGACAAGGAATTCGTTTGAGAATTATTATTATTATGTTGGAGAGGAAATTAAAGGTGCGAGAACTTTGTAACTTTGGCACCGTTCGGTAAGAATTCAACGAGAAAGAATCGCTATGTTCGAATTGTATTGAATGGACTTAAGATAAGTGTCGATATGTAGAAATGGTGAACATTGCATTAAATTTTGAGATACTCGATGATTAATTGGCAGAATTGAATCAGAAATAAATTTCGAGATGTTCGATGGTCGATTGGCAGAATTGAATCAGAAATAAATTTCGAGATGTTCGATGGTCGATTGGCCGAATGGAATCGGAAATTACTGAAATTTATGCCAAATTAACATTCGATTTAAAATTTATTTCAGTACTGGAAATAAATTTACCAAGTGGTAGGAGGCCATTCTCCTACGTTATTTTTTTAATTTATTAAATGAACATTCAGTAACATTTGCCCGAAAGAATAAGGTTATACGCACGAAAATACCATCGGTATTAGCATCGTTTCGTAGGATTTTTTTAAGTACTGTCGTGATTAGCGATCACACGAAGCTCCAGGATCACTTCTCCCTTGTTATTCCCGTCGATTTTCACCGTTTTCCGGCTCTGTTCCGGTAGAACAATCACGTCGTCCGAACCAGCCAGTCTCTTAACAGGTGCCTCGACCAATCGGTAACGGGCGATCGGCGCCTCATCCCTGTTCACCTCAGCGAACGGCTTTTCCAGGTTGGCCAGCGTGTACACCTAATTTGGACATTAACAACCGGGGAATTCATGGTGAGCAATGTACCTCGCTGCGAGGTATCCGGCTAATATTTATTCGGCGAACGTTTCGCCGTTAATCGCATTAACGGCAACGATGGCTCGTCGTGCCCGTTTAATTAAACGGCGATCATCGTGATCACGAGAAATTCCGTTGATTTATCATCCGAAGAAACTAAATCCGATGATACGAGAGAATATTTATCCGAATGAATTTATACACGTGTTGGAGCGTTTTCGTGTGTATTAAACACGATTCACGAGGAAATTTTTCGATTGACAAAACAGAATGTTGAAAGTGAAACGGAAAATGTTTGTATCCGTTATACAATGGGTACATTTGAATACGGTGTTTTAATCAGTTATTAGAGCGGTAATTTCAGAGTCGGACAGTACATAAATTAAATCTTTAATTCATTAAAGTTTCTTATTGGGGAATTCAAATCGAAAAGGGGAAATAGAAATTGTTATTTAGAAATGTAGCTTTAAGTGCCTATTCGTTAGTTATTATTCTCTATTTGTCGATCGTTAAACGAAAATTCTGTAAAAAACGTATCACGATAGAAAAAAAAAGTTTATAAAAAGCGGTGATACTAATTGTAATAAACGAACCTTTTTAACCGGGCGTATCGTGTCGTCGATTTCGTTCGCGTCACCGGCGGAGAAGCTGAGATCTAGATCACGGGAAGATTGTTCGTTCGGAACGGGGTAAGTCAGGACGCCGTATCGATTCCCGTCCGTATTCTGCGTGTAGTAAACCCGTCCATTGACGGTGGCCACGATGATCGCGACGATCGTCACAACTCCATGGTTTCCCGTCATTGTTGCGAAAGCTGGGTGTCTATCGAATGCTGAACCGTGCTCAACTGAGCGTGACGACCGACCAACGTACGAAATTAATTAAGTAAGGCCGTTCCAGCTGCTGTCGGACACCGTTTATCCGTGGTAAGGCGATTACAGAACGTTCCACGGACTGATTAACAACTATAATTATACAGGTTGAACCGTGATGGTTCTAAGGCGTCTTTAACTCTTTGAGGCACAGTGGTATGAAAAATGTCCCATCTTTTTTTTATACAAATCGTGAAATTACTAAAAATAAAACATAATTCAAGTAGAATAATATTTCATACAAAAAGATGTATGTACAACTAGGTATTTCTTTTGTTGTAAAATCCTGTGGTACAAAGAGTTAAGCCGTTTTCAAGGCATCATGTGCTATCTAAAATTCAACCTAGAAAACAACAAATATTCTTTTAAGTCCTAACTCCGAAACTATTTTTCTCTTAACAATTCAAAATTTATGTTCATAATAAAATAAAATTATGTTAAATATTGTAATAAATAGCCATTCAGTATTAAACTTCGTAAATTTAAACTCAGTTTGCTCAGTTTAGAAACTAAGGGGGATAGAACGATGGAGAACTAGAGCGACGAAATATTAAAATACCAATAAGCCAAGGTAAAATAATTCGATACGCTAAAAACCGGACCAAAATCTTCATTTATCGATTCAAGATATCCAAAGAATACGAACCTACGGTACATTGGAAGAATTTCTTCTAACTTATGACTCAGAGGACCTGGTGTCTTCCAGTCGTAGACACCAATAGCACACCGATCCTATTGTTTCACGGTCCTAGCGGCCGTTTCCGCGTCGAGAACATCGAAACACGGGTTTCCGCGTGCATATAAAGGGGGTGAAAAACGGAACGAGCGAGCGAACGGGTGCACGCGTGCATTATTGGAACGCGGCGAGAGATTAAAAACGACTTTTTCCAAAGGATCGGTTCCATTGACTGGTGTGGGTGCATTGCGGGCGGGTCCTGAATAATGCATGAAATTTGTTCCCCGGAATCGAATCGCTTCTCGTCACCGCCCGGCACCGAGGACAAGAGAGCGGGCATAAATCTAAATAATTTCAACCCTCGAATTTTTATTATTCCTATGACTACGGCCTCGTCCCTGAATATGCATGCGTCGCTTTCCGCACTTCGAGGCCCGAGAGCGCTCCACCTTTGTGTAACTATCCGCCGCGAAACGGAGGGGGGAGTTGAAGGTAGAAGAGGGGGATGATGCAGCTTGCTAACACCCTAGTTTCCAGCATCTTTGACCTGTAACCGTAAAGAAATTAAAAGAAGATTTACAAGAAGAGGTTCCCAGGTGTAACGTTGACTTGTTACTGAAGTTTAACATTGCGATCGAGCTTGGAATTCGGAAGTCACCCAGATAGCAAATGGCGCCCAATGACGCCTTGAAGACGGCTTAAAGGCGCCTTAGACCTAAAATAACTGTAAAATAGGCGTCTTCATGTACTATCTGGGCAATGATATTTATTTTAGCTATAGTTGATTTGTAATATTTGTTCTCGATGGAATAATAGTGTGAATATCATTGGAGATTTAAGCATGAGGGGTGTACAGCTCCACGGTCAAATTCGACTACCCTCAACCCCTCGTTAGGGTCTCGATGATCCTGCAGTCAGTGGAGATCCTCAGTGTTCCCATGACTCTTAGATTGTTCGGTGACCTTTATAAGACCACCGAATAATACTTCGAAAATACAATAATAATATATAATACTTTGATTTACTTGACAGTACTTTGAAGCCATTGAAGAACGCTGAGAAGCTGTTAGCGGCATATGGCGTGGATGTGCACTAAAATAGTAATTTTATTAGACCGAGAATTTCGAAAGACTAAAAACTCCAAATTTCAATGCATACCACTATTCATGTCTCTATATATCACAGGCGAAAGGGATGTCTAATATGAAAAATTTACAAAGAGTCAGTCGTTATTCGGCCGGAGAATCTCGATAAATCACGAAAAGAATTAACGAGCAGCGAAGATGACACCGGGTCTTCCTTCATCCCTTCCCCTGTCCCCGCCGGTGATATATAGCCGACAACTTTTCTCATACTTGAGAGAGTTTTCCTGAGAAGCATATTGTAACCACAGTGAAAGGGGAAACGGGGGGAGGAGTTACAAAGTGGTTAGGGATGAGTTCTTATAATGTAACACTATAAGGGATAGAATTGATGCTCGTGGACTTATTTTTCTATAATATTCTCTCTTCATCGATTATCCTGTCTTCCTTTTTTCTCTATACGGCAACTGATATTGGAGACATTCTTACTTATTTATCTTGATAGTCGTGTAAACGAACTTTTCTTCTTATCACTCTTGATTAACGTGCTATCGCTCATACAAGAATCGCGATGACTTATGTAGCAACGTATGACATGGTTTTGCGAAAGAACCAATCATACCATATATATGATAGATATCTTCGGTTTTATTTATTCGTGAAAGGTTATGTAATCCAGCTGTACAAACATACCTCGTTGGCGATACAAGTCTCGGCTAACTTACAAGCACACTCTGCTGTGAATTCGTCGAGGTGAAGTAAAAAGCTTCGTGTTGGGTTTATAATATTTTATTGATGTGTAATACTGCGCAAGGTTGATTCTTGAAACTCTTCTTCGGGGTCACGCTTGCTCCGTAACAATATCATTTAAAAGTATCATACACTGCTCCTAGAACAATTTACACGCCTAATCTTCAGTTTCCTTTTTTTTTTTTACAGATTCTACTAGAATCTTCCGTGACAAACATGCACAGAGGTATATTCAGTCCGTACACGCGGTTAGACTGCGTGCTTACGATCACAATAAAACAATATTAAATGCTATTACACTGTTAGCAAACTCCACGAAGTCAAGTAACATTACGTTTCACGGTAAACTATTTAAACAAGTACTCGGCAAAAAAATTATCTAAATCTGTGTGATCATATGATTAAGAACATATTTCTACAACTCGTAAAATCGCTGCAACCTGGACAATCAAGTTGCAGAGTGATCCCGGACATGTACAATGACGATAATTTGAAAACAATAATTACAGAGACGTTCGAATACAGCATGTTATCTCACGCGTATGATTTCTACGAGTATTTGGCAGTTTATTTCCATAAACCTCGGATCATTTTACTTCGTCTGTGCTAAAACCTTTTTGCAAATTTCATTAGTGTACTCGCTGCACTTTGCCGTCCCTCCAAGATCTCCCGTTAGAGATTTGCCTTCTTTAATGGTGTCGTATGCGGCGTTTTCAATGATTGCTGCAGGTTTGTTCAATCCCATATGTTTAAGCATCATTACAGCAGAGAGCAACAACGCGGTAGGATTTGCTTTGTCTTGGCCCGCAATGTCCGGAGCAGTTCCGTGCACCTGCATTTCAATAAAAATATTATTTCTGGTCCTTATACCAGAACAGATGATAACTAGTATGAATCTTTAATTACGCACAGATTCAAACAAGGCACCATTCAAGCCAATATTTCCACTTGGTGTGAGACCAAGTCCTCCTACAAGACCGGCACACATATCAGACAGAATATCACCATACAAGTTAGGCATTACAAGCACATCGTATTGACTGGGATCTTGGACCATGTTTAAACAAACTGTGTCCAGGTATCTTTCTTCAAATTTAATAGAGGGATATTTCTGGGCCGCGTCGCGACAGCATCTCAAGAACAAACCGTCAGACATTCTCATAATGTTTGCTTTATGTACAGCGGTAACCTGTAAAAGAAATCAATGGTTATACAATAAACTGACATTTCCCAAAATAAATATTATTATCTTGTAATAACAATAACAGATTTTAATTTTTGTGAAATGTTTATAGGCAAATTTCATACTTTTTTCCTATTGTTATCCTGAGCATATTGGAAAGCAAATTCGGCTACTCTACTAGAGGCTTCTTCTGTGATCAATTTAATAGACTGTACAACTCCCTCAACAATCTCGTGTTCTATACCAGAATATTCTCCCTCTGTGTTTTCTCTTATTGTAACAACGTCCACATTGTCATACAATGTTTTATAACCTTCTAGGGAGCGACAGGGTCGAACATTGGCATATAAGTTAAATTCTCTGAATAAAAGATAAATAGTAATTACTAACTGAATAGTATGAATTACGTGTTATATTCAGTTCAATTGAAAAACAGTTTAAACACATTCAAATAATTAAAACAGTACATATTCGCAGTAGTACTTGTGATTATGTAACGCAAACAATTCAAGATAGCTGCATTAAGGCTGACACAATACTCTACATACATGTGACAATTGAATCGGATTGGTCTTAATCACAGAAAGATAAATACAAGCTTACTTTCTCAATGCAAGATTCAGAGATCTGTGTCCTTTTCCAATAGGTGTCATTAAAGGACCCTTCAAACCAATCTTATTCCTGTTAACTGAGTCAATGGCAGCTTGTGGGATACCGAACCTGCCATCTGGACCTTTTACTGGTGTTACATCGACAGATTCCCATTCTATCGGCACCTGGTATACAAGAGAACTTTATAAATGAAAATATGTACAAATGAAACAACAATATTTTGCTAAAATCATGTCAAAGAATAGACAAATTCACTTTGATTAATATTATCATATACAGGAATACAATATATAGATGCCCAATTGTAAACACTAACAGTTGAGTAATAGTGTTATGCAATACAAGACATATGATTACTATTGTTTATCTTTCTTAAATACATTAAAACAACTGACAGATTACCATTGTGTACAAACAGAGATAGACTAAGAGACATGCAATCAATTAAACAGGATTTCATACAAACACATTAACATGTTTACATAAGTAGAAAGAAATATACAAATTAAAAAAACATACCTTAGCTACAATAAGAGCAGACTGAATTAGCCTAAAATTGGATCAACCTGTATAAGAGTAAGATTAAAATAAACTCCTTAAGGTTAGTAGTAGGACAAACAGGGTCACCTTGTAAGGTTCAAACAACAAGTATTCCATAATTCAAAATGTACAAATACTCTTGACATGGTCACTACTATGCAAAAATCTAACAAAAGTGTCAAAGTAATTATGCATGAATATATAGACTGTTCAACTAACATGCAGATTATATAAAAATGTCGTGCAACTACATCAACTGCTAAATTATAATTTCGTGTAAGAAGAATTCACCTTGGCGGCGTCAAAAATTTTTTGAACGGCGACAGAAATCTCCGGCCCGATACCGTCTCCAGGAATCAGCGTGCATTTGTGGACTTTACTGCTATAAAGGCGAACACCGCCAATTTTTGGAACCTGTTAAGAAAATATTGATGTAATTCATGGTTATCGAAAAAGGACACGCCGCAAATCGTATTGAATTTCGTAAAACAGGATGATAGGAACAAGATGAAACATTGATATCGTGGAAGAGACAGATAAAAAGGGATGAATGATATAAGAATAGAAGACTGCCAAGAGATTATACAGTCAAGCAGACAGATATATAACCAATCGGTGAATTCTAACCTTTCCATTTGGAATGAAGTAGTTACTTGGAAGACACTGGTTTGTTCGAGCATTTCTGATCGGTACACACGTAGATACTTACTGCGTTTCGTATCCACTGCGCTGCCATTCTCTTAAGAAATACTTTCTGGAAAAAAATGAACCTCCACCACCCAAAGATGTTGCGCACGTCAGAAGCGATGCGATACCAAAAAACGAGGGGAGAAGAACAGGCTTCGGTTGCGATTGGTTCCCGCGAGACGATGTCTTCTGCTATTCGGAAACCGGAAGGTAGCAATCGACATATAGAAGGAGACGAGTGGCTCCACATCCACTGATATTTTTATTTATACGAAAAGAATCGAAAATAAAAAATATATTTTATGTTATAAATGCCCTTTTTCATTTCTGGGGGTTTTCTGTAAGTAAATTTAAAAAGTCAGATCGCGTGATACTGACTTCGTTGGGGTTATATAAACGTTTTTTAGACGTTTGAAAAAGGCACATTATGCAAATTTTGATTGGTCGCAAATCGAGCTTTTAGTTTTTCCAAAGTTACTATTCGTAGGTATATAAAGTTTTTTTTACTAATTGCAATGTATGGGGATGGAGAGCAGAAAAAACATTTGTCAAATAGTGTTAAAAATGAACAGACTATCTTGCAATTCTTTAACTAAATAGATTAGAATGATTGGATAAAACTATTTCTACGCAATAAAATTATTCCTAAGACCATTATTATTTGCACAAACGTTGATATTTGTTACTTTGACTATTTAATCATTTTTTCGTCTGATACTTTCCGGTGATAGATGTGTATTATGATTCAGATTATATTCTGTAGCAGGTGGTAACTTTATTTAAAATTGAATACATATACAAATAAGCTGTATGTTTTTACAGTGTATACATTAGTATTATAATATCCATTTAAACAGTAAGCTAGTAATGGCACTGAACACTAAATATCACGATTATGTCGAGGTTGTGAATAAAGTGCATAGAGCTATACTTGTAGCTAATATTGATATAAAACAGTTTTTTATACCTTTTAAACAAGTTTTCCTTAAAGCAATTAAATACACTCACTTCTACAGGTTTTCACTAACACTGTAATTTCGGCAAAAAAAAAAGGAGATAGAACGCTGCACCATCCAATTTAATTACTTTATGACATAAACACTTACAAGTATAATCACGTTCATTTACCTTCATTTCTTATTATAGCACTGGGTATCACTCCTACAGGACTTACCACTTAATAACCATGTAGTCAGATGAAATAGATGTCCTGGAAGAACAGGTGTACATATAAATCTTTTTTCAAATTTTTTGAACTTACCTCATCTTCCAAGCAAACAGTAGCGGCCATTAGAAAAATTAGTAATATATCTAAAATACATAATTGCAAAAGTTTTGTTGTATAAAAAAATAATATATGAAAATATTGACAATAATGGTTACATCATTAACAATTGGCAAAACTTCTGTAGACATCGAATATTTAATGCGCTCCGGATATACTGAAAATTTCATTCCATAAACATATTCTTCCATTAACAATGAATATTTAGACACCTATAGTATACATAAATTTGAATAACACCAATGAGGAAATTCTGCTGTCCCTATTTTCAATCAATCATCGAAACAGTTAAATCCTTCCACTAATATTTCTGGTGGAATAACAAAAATACGAATGTGCGATCACTTACGATGGAAATGTACGGCACAAAGCCATTGCACACGATCTCATGCGTTATAAAGTAAGACCCTATCTGACATCAATGATAATATTAAGAAAAAAAGATACAACGTCCTTGAAATATTAAGAAACAAATTTGGTAACCACAAACGGAAATCGACGATGGTCATTAAAACGGTTCCATACGTATAGTGATAACACGAATTAATTGTTTCGTTGGCGAAGTCAGCAGAGAAAAGATTAAAAAAAGATTTGCCACCACTTACCATAGAAGTCATAATTACCACAAAGGGGTTCCTTGTTTTTCATGTTACATCAATACAGTTCGAACATACAGAATTCCACAATTTTTTGGACCAGACGCAAATATCAATAAATGTGGAAAATGCACTCAGAATACTACAATAAATAAGAATCAACCACAATGTTAGAGACGAAATGCCACATTACCAGCCAATCTTAACTTCCCCCGAAAAACCTGTTAATCCACCATTTTCATTCATAGTATAACTCTGAATTAACAATCTTCAGAGAAAGAGTACCAGATGTAACTTGACGAACCCAAATATTCTTCTAACGACGTTCCAGCATAACAGGAACACAGATCTTTGATAAAAGATTTCAAACAAATTATTCATTCTTCAAAATTGTCCGTCATAGAGGAAACAGGAAACCACAATCACTTTGAAAAGTTTCTCACCTGCGATGTAAGCAAATATTCACCTCAAGGATCGTGGAACTTCAATGTCTCAAAAGTAAACAGGGATTTCTACATCTAGAGATAGAATGGTAAAAAAACCTTTAAGCAGAGATTTCCTTTTAAAGTGCAATGCATTTGGAACTTCGACTCTGCATAAATATATCTGCAGACTATACGTTGCAGAAACGATAAATTTCCTTGCCAATGCATAATCCACAGCACTTGACCTGCTTAAAGTATTAAAGAATCACAACAACACAGAAATAAAACACAACGACCAGTATGTTTTTTTTTTGTAGTCAAAACGGATTTGGATTTTATTCAATCACTGTCATGATGTCGTGGTTATACAAGAGTGTTACACAATTCGCAGAATGTTCCTCGAAATCTACGTGGCGAGAGGAAATATGTTTACCAAAAAATGGAAATCTATAAAATTAGCTGGAGAGCCTCTGTGTTATGTGCACTTTCTTTCAACGCTGAAAGATGATTAAAAATTGTTTCCTTGTTCTCTAGATTAAACATTCACCTACTTTTTGGTAAACATATTCTAATGCACAATACGTAAGACAATTCTGCCAAATTTCAGGGGGTACAAAGTCATCCAATCTTCGGTCGCCAAAGTCTCGAAGTGAGTGAACTATAAGAAAGGGGCCTTTCCTAATGACAACTAAAATTTTGTATGCACTACTTGAATCTCCAAGTTTACTAAGAACGATGTGGCGCGACAAGTAAAAGATCAGACCGCAGAACTACAAATGGAAACAATACACAGTCCCCTGTTGAGCCATCATGTATCTCGTTATGTGTTAGATACAAGAATAGAGTGCGACCGATACCACAGAAAAACCGACACACGTCCACGATCTGCGTAGGATTGTGCATGAAATTATCTATCATACATGGATAAACTTTAAACTTGTAAAGCCCGTAACAGCTATATCGCGTTAGTATTTATGCTTGAAAGATTAATCTGTCTAACCTGGATCGATTGACCACACCGCGAACACGACCAAGAAGCGTCTCGCGTTCTCCGACCGGAATGTGGAAAAACCGATTGATCTCTCGTCACAAAAACTAAGAAAATAAACATACAAGCTACGTTTTGATAATTACTGTAAATAGCGTATAACCTATGTACTGAAAAAACCTACGGATTACGTTGAACATTATGAACCTAAGCCTAACAATTAAACTATGTATCGATCACACGAAAAGTATCCGATATCGGGAACGAACTGTTTAGTAGGACTTCCACTGCAAAAAGGAACGATAATTCTAGTAAAGAATTTTTTTTTTCAACTGAAACAGCCGTAGCAAGGAAGGGTGATCACCGGCAGCCAATAAGCATTCTTTTCGACGTTGAAGTAGGCATTTAAAACACGATTGTTGATCTTCCAACGACAGATACTTCTCACCCACTGTCCTAAGTTCTGCCACACAACTAGGATGAATTTCAAGTATTGTCATCAGGAGCGGAACAATCCTGCAGACCACATACGAACACCCAGTCTCCTCTCGCTGCATCAATAAGTTATGGTTAAGCATCAACCTATGCAGAGGTTCTCTATTACTGTTACCTTGAGTGTGTTCCCCCCAAGATTTAGTAAAGGCGAACTTCGATCGTTCTGCCGTCAATACGCGACCGATTCATCATAGCTATACATACATCATTAAGGAAAATCTTTCAAACGTGCAATTGTGCACAGTGGTCAGGATAAATCTCAGTGCAAGATCATATAAAAATCATGTTTATTACGTAATACGCAACATAAGTGGCGTGGGTAAATAGAACTAGAAAGTCTAAATATCCCCAGGGAACTTCCATATGTTGTATATTACGTAACAGACAGCAGATTTATGATTGATGCAAATGTGTTTGTAAAAGGATACACACAGCACGTTCAGCATCCCAGTCGGACGCGAATCGTACCATTCCCATGTCGGTTCCCCGCATTTCAGCGAATTTGACTTCTCCAACATCTTGGAACTTATCTCGTAACATTTGCCATGTGGTATTTGGTGGTAGCTATAATAGTCACATGAGTTTATATGTACCCAATTTTTCAGCGAACTTTATGCAAGATATGAATATACATAGAAACATATTTATACGTTTAATTACATATCCAGAGATAATGCAAAAAAATAAATTGATCCTAAGTTAAATGCATTAAATTTCTTGTCATAACAATCAATAATAATTCATTCCGACAGTTATGTCCACGTATTACAAGGGAAAGAATTTGTACATACGTTTCCTATAAGAATAGTGTCAGACATTGGTCGTGAACCATTAGCATTTTGCCTGTTGCCGCCTCCTCCCTGTCCCTGATTTCCACTAAAGCCACCGCCCCCACCAGGACCGCGGTCGTTGTCTCCTCTATTGAATCCACCGTCAAAATCTCTACCGCCACCGAAGTTAGAACCACCAAATGAATTGTTTCCACCGAAGCCTACATCATTGTCCATTTTAGATAAACCTCGCGGCGCAAAGGAATTGTTGCCTTGGCCACCAGATAAAGAGGCTTGTAAACTAGACAAACCTCCGACTCCTCCGCCGAAGCTATTTAAGTTAGAAGCCAATTCATTTGTCAAAGATGAATTTAGCAGAGAACTGGTGGTCAAGTTTGCACTTAAACCTCCAGCCAGACTTGCTTGAAGAGCTGCAGCATTTGTATTTGTCAATGCAGATGCTGGGATAAAAATAATTTTTTTCTTATTAATTCCTCGCTGTGCAACTGTAAAACGTTGAATTTATAGTAAGTATATAAAATTACCTAATTGTGCTGGGACAACATTGTTTAAACCAGCTCCAAAGGCTCCAGCAGCCAACACAGGAGCAGAAATAGGATTTACAACGGGAGGATTATTTGCCTGAACATTAGGAATGTTTCTAGCTACATCCATTAATCTATTACCACCAGCTCCAAGTCCCATTCCAAGTCCTTTCAAACCTATTATACAATTAATGATTAATTTTTGTTCTTTAATTGAAATTGAAAAATAATGTACTTAAATGAGATAAATATATACCTTCTGGTAACTTTGGTGGCATATCTGGTTCATTTGCTCTATCAAGTCGGACAGTCATACGCCTGTCATAAAGTTGTTGATTGTGAAGCATTGATATGGCTTGCACTGATTCTACCGGATGATCATATTCTACAACTCCAAAACCTCGAGACTTTCCATCTTTATCCTTGCCTAACTCAACATGCAATACTTTACCAGCTAGTTTGAATACCTCTAATAATTTCTTTTCGTCCACTTTATAATCAAGCTAAATACACAAATTATATAAGATTTAGATAAATTCTTTGTAGTTATGTAACCGAATGTAATTTCTATTGTTCTTATATAAATGTAAACTTACATTTGCAACAAATACTCTAGTAACTAAAGGTCCATTAATACCTAAGGATTCTAAAAACTGAGTACTTAAACCGTAGGTATTTCCAAATTTATTATCACCACCGCCGCCTCCTCCTCCTCCACCACCACCACCGCCGCCACCGCCGCCGCCACCACCACCACCGCCACCTCCGCCTCCGCCTCCACCACTTGGTACATTCATATTTTGTCGTCCACCACCTTGTGGTCTCGGTGGCTCTCTAAATCTATCATCACGTACTCTATCATTGTTACGAGCTGTGGCTAACCGACCATATTTATCACGTTCGATGTCAAAATCCTAAAAAGTACAGATATTAGAACATGTGTTCCTAATCACATTGTAAGTTCACATTAAGGTCCATTTATACTAAGACGGGTCTACCGCAAGACGACTGCACTGTCGATACACATGCAACATGAGGTCAATGGGCCTACCACGAGCTCATTTGAATAACATGAGAATTGAACAAACTCGTTAGAAAATCGTTGTCAGTGAATCATCGACGATGCTCCTTTGAGCATCGTTCGTAGCACGACCTAGTATACATTGTTTGATTTAAAACAAATCTAAGAATCTCAAGCCATTGCGTGCTCGGCCCGTCCCAATATAAACGAAACTTTATAAACAGTATCTGAGAAAATAATAATATACTAACTACCTCCTTCACCACAAGCTTTCTTCCTTTAATGTCGTATCTATGCATCTTTTCGACGGCAACTTTTACAGAGTCCGAATCTTCGAACTCGACAATTCCGCAGCCTCTCGGTTTGTCATTTTCATCGGTGAAAAGCTCCACGTGTGCAACTTTTCCGACCTCGGTCCGAAAAAGATCCTTAAGATCTTGCCAACGAAAATCATAGGGAATGTTTGATACGTAAATCCGGCGATCCGAAGCTTTCCTGCCGCCACGATCGTTTCGGTCTCTGCTTCGATCATGACTCGTCGAGTTTATGCGTGTTTGTCTGTCTGATCTGCGATTGCGATCTCGTTCCCTACTTCGATCTCGTTCGTCATTATTTTGCACTTGATTCCTGAAGTTCATAAAGGCGCGTAAAAATAACGTGCTCGGCGAAGCGTTCGGCGATTGTCTCAGAGAGCGTCAATGAAACGCGCTACGTTTTTCATTGTGGAATATATACAAATAGTGATTGGTAATACGCAATTAAACGTATTTTCTTTATGCGATTCATGTTGTCGTTAATTCCTACGTATTGCGTCGGTTTATGTTGCTTGTACGTGATCCCGCACGCCGAAAGGAACGTTCGATGAATTGTACAAAATATTACTTTCATACTTACTCGTCCTGCTTTAGCATCTTCGAGGCTTCTTTCACTATTCAAACAATTTAACTTATGCGAAGAATTCGTACTAAAATTCGCAGTTGAAAAGAGTAAAAGACACCCTGCATCCAAACATACGCGACCACGAAGCGTCTTATAAAATGGCCGTCCACGGAAGTAGTAAATCGTACCGGAAACTACTATATTCAATAATAAGTTCCAGTCGGAAAACAAATTATAAATGAAAGTATGAAAATGGTATCTTCGGAAAGCCTAAATATTTATATCGTTCCTGTTATGATAGTTTATAATCGTGAATCGTGTTTGTGTTTATAAATATAAATAGAATATATATGTATAGTAAGTTCAGACTATAGGTTTGTTTCCTTTCATGCACCGACATCTGTCGTGTACCATGATATTTAATGGCACAAAATATATTTCATGTATTTCAAATATTTTTTTCTAATAGTATAAGATAATTTTTTGAATTACTAGTGTTTATTAACATTGTCGGTAATAACGGTTTTAATTAATAATATTTCATTTTTTCTTACCTAACGACGTGATACAAAATACCTACAACACCCTGTACGTCGAAATGTCCAAAGTACTAAGCACAGACGAGATATGTATGTATGATAAAAATCGAGTTATCATCTTACGAGTATTGTATATGTATCTAACAAATAAATGAAAATGTGCTTCATTAGTGTCAAATTTTTAGCAGTCATTAACAACTACTATCTATTATATGTGTAATTAAAATTAAATGTGATATTAAAATTGGTACCAAAAGAGTATGTCGTGTCATCTAGGGGCAAAAATATGGTACTAATTTATTAATAGCTTGGATGCTTTGCCGTTGATGTCGCCATCGATATATGATTATACAAAGTCTAATTTGTTAATAAATTTCGGACAACTTATTGGAAAACAGTAATATCTAATATCTAACGTGTTAGCAACATTAAGTTTCAGCTAGGAATTTATACGTATACACGTTTTATTTTTCAGAGAAAATATAATTATTAGATGCTATAGGAGGAAATGCATTGTATTACTAAATAAAAATAAATAAACCGTCCATTATTATTAATCACACCTGTATTTTCACAGTCTTTACATTATAAAACAGTTAAAGTGGGTGGCTCTGAACGTAAGATACTTTTTTTGTACAAAATTATTAATGTTCATGTAAAACTACAGTGATAAATTAATGTGATTATGAAAACAGAAACGCATTTAAACGGTACAAAACTACTAAACGACGCAAAAATTATGAATAAAGTTGTTTATTCTTTCTGACTTATACGGATTTATTCTACAATAGTGCTATTAATTCTCGAGTGCAAATATAGAACTGTTTTCAAAAAAAGCACCTTACTTAAACACCTCGCGTATCATGATTCTTATGTGTGTATATATATATATATATATATATATATATATATATATATAATTCTGTATAATACGTATAATCTATATGTATGTTTATCACATTTTAAATAAAATTAAATCGATGTAAATGAATCGTTTACAAATAATCTTTACATATGAATCATAATATGCACATATAACTCTGAATCTATCGAAATAATAAACAGCTTTGAGTAAAATAACTTGTATGAAATTCTGACGATGCTCAAAAAGAAAACCCAGAACACGTACGTTTATACAACAAATGAAAACTTTACGGAGTTCCAAAAGAAAATATTTAATCGCAATCTATATTTCTTCAATATTTCAACACAGGAGTGCATGCTTTATCGTCTTACGAATTGCTTATTCACTCTAAACGACAAGAATTTGTGTATTACACAATCTTATCCCTGTTTTATTCGTTTATACAGCGTTGAAAGTAAAACCGTTTCTTCTACGATTACACAACGTTTTCCAATTTAACATACATTCATGTTATGACTAAATATCATTCAACGCGATGTGTATATTATGGCTCGTATGGGGTTTATGTATAAGGGAACGGCTATTCGCCAAGTATACAATAGTAAAATCACATTGATCAATATTTCTAAGCCATTATAATCGATGCCAGTAAATACTCTCCTAGGTTCTCTGTTTCCGAAGATTTCAATTCCTTATGAAGTTCCACACCAATAGACGAGATATTTCATGTACGAAATCGCGATAGAATGAGTTTGCGCTATACAATAAGCTGCTGCAATGATTCCCTCGAATTTATCTTATCGTACTTATACAGGGCGAGGTTAAATATATGGTACAATCGGGCCGGCACGATTCCTCATGAAAAAATATGTACGAACGTTTAAAATAACAAATAATTTTGTCCAAGGTATTGTTCCCGAAACTATCGAATCTGAAGATTGCACCAGCATGCATACATTCGTTCATACAATAGGTAGAAACGACTAGTAATAAACAAACGCTTTAACCAAATCCCATTCTGTGGGACATTTCACCAAGAAATTTTCAATCACACTTATCGGAAACAGTCCTACTTACAGAAAAAAATGTTATTCTATACTTTCGACGAATTTCTTCATAAAGAATCATTCCCTGACTGTACACCAGTCCGATACTTCTGTCTCCGCGAACCAACATGAAATAGTATTCAAAGTATTGAGAAATAGTCTCGAGTAATTGGCGAATGTTGGCGATTTAGAGATATTGAAATCCGTATCTGAGGCGATGGTCTTTAGGAGCGCGATCTACATTGAGTGCACTGTTTTTAATCGTTATTGATACAAGATAATGAATATGTAACATCATGTACATAGAAATCATTAGCTCACTGTATAAATAAAGAATAAAGATGCGCGGCTGTCGGTTGTTGAGAGGCAACGAGAAAACAGTTGTTCACGAGATCTGACAGCCTGTCGTACGGACCCGTGTGTGTGTTATTCAAGAATAAGGAATATTAATTTTGCTTTTCTATATTGATTCGATTAGAAAATCCCACGTCGGGCTAGGTCGTGTGCGTACCGCGGTAACAGTATTATCACATGAATAATAATGGCAGGTCTCTTAGGGTAGCTTTTATACTTTCCCACTTAGAAACATATTCTAGCATTGGTTTACTATTCGAAAAGATGCAAAACTTCGTCGTCGACACTTTCGTCTTTAGTAAACAAATTCAATTCACTCTCGTGGCATCGTGAACAATACCGTGCAACATCTCCGTCGATGTGTGTATGTGTATGTGTGTATTCTCGCGATTAGTGCATCTGAACGAAGGATCGGAGATGTTTTGGGATTTCGTCTACCTTATGCGTTCTTTTAACTATTCTAGCCGCGAGGCAGGAGAGAGTGGTGTATTTTATCGGGTTCACAGAATTGTAAAGGGGTTTGTCGCGTACCAGCGTCTCGAAGGTTTTACCCTCGTTATTAACGGTATCGATGTGCGCGCCGGCCTCGAGTAGAATGACAGCGAGGTCCCGCCGCCACATGTGCGATATAGCGGCAAGATGCAATGGCGTGTTACCGTCGTTGTCCCTTGTATTAACATCGGCGCCAACTTTTACGAGAGCCGCTGCCAAATGCGGGGACGGGAATTCGTAGAACGAATACTTGCCGAGTACAGTGCCCATCCCGCTATGAATCAAATGCAACACATCACGACCCTGAAGAACAAAAAAACCAAAGAGTGTTAGGTACTCTATGTAGATCTCCCGTTTACAGTCTTATGAGATACAATAGAGCTCTATTCGTTACGAACCCGTGTCGGTAGTTATAAATGATTCAGTCAATTGGAATATGTAAATAACAGCTCGCGTACATGAATCGACTAAGGTTATGTTGTCAGAAACTGTTGCCAAGCTTAAGCTTGTGTTGTACCAATAATAGAAGTTCAACGACGTTAATTTAATCGGCCGTTTAGGGCACAGAGTTTCGTTTAGGTAAATTGGAGATATCGTTAACTGTAATTTATCAATTGTACTCACATGTCTGCCTTTGGCATTTATTCGAACTAATTCGTAAATCGCTTTATGCAGAGCGACATACTCATCGGTACCCTCTTCTGGAAGTTCACGTGTCAATAGACACGCCAGCTGTAGAGTGATTACTAGAAGTTTATTCAAATAGGTTAGGTCGCCCTGATAGACTTTGTTCAATATTTGCTTTCCTAATTTCACTTCCAAGACCTGCAACAACAAGTCGATCTATTGTATTCTCGAAGGTGTTACAACACGGTGACAGAATCATTCCGCGTGTGTGATTTAGAGTCAGGACTTACAGCTTTTTTGAACACTCTGAGAACCTCTTCTCTCTGGACCGGTGGCACTTTTCGTTCCGCGACTGTCTGTCTGTTCATCATAATTCTGAAAAGCTCGGCGAAACTGGTCAACGAACCCTGAGTCGTAGGATCCAGCGGGTCCAACATACTTTGCTGTATGTCCAAGACGTAATTCCACAGTTCAATGCAACGACTGAACTGTCCGCCGTCCGCGTAAACTGCTCCTCTGTAGCGAATGTAATAGTGAGTGTCAGGATGGGCTGGACCTAATATTCGTTCGCGAATTACAAGGGCTTGCATCCGCATTTCATCCGGATCGTTCAAGTCGCCCAACGCGTCTGGATCGGAGATTTCTTCCGCGAAATTGTACGCAGCTACAGCTGGTGGTGGGGATGGTTTCGGTATCGCTGGAAGATCCGGTCGGTATCTGAAAAAAATCATGCGTTTAACCACATTTACTTGATTAAATTCGTATAGGTAATTAATGGTCGCTATTTATCAACCATAACATCATTATTACAAAGATTACACATTAGTTTTGTACTCATATATGCAATAAAATAGTCACTTTAAATAAAACCATTTATTTTTTAAGGATCATTGTTTCATTTTATGCAAATAAAAATTTTTCAAAATAACCCTTTTGCATAATGTTTGTTAAAAAAGTATGTATATATATATAGATGTAAACGTAAACACTGCATATCAAATTCTTAATTAAATAATATTACATTAATAAGGGCGGCGAAATTGTTTTTGCACTCGGACGGCCAACAACCCATGAACGACCCTGCATACCCCACTTCCCATTTATCAGCAGGAGAATATCGCAAACCTTTCGTCCATCGCCCGTTTCCAAAGTTCAAACGCGCCCGTCATGTCCGTCTTTTTATCCACATAAGTGGCGCCCAATAGTTCCAACGCGTCGATGCGTTCCTTCCGGCTGACCAGATGCGGCATATCGATGAAGTACTCAACGATATGTTTTTGACCTACGTGAAACAATTGTCACCGTTAATGTCGTGTCTTCCCTCCAAGGACGTTTTCTTTGCCCGACATAACGAAAACACCTCGGATATGCGTTCCTTGTGTAATCTGTTTTAACCCTTGTATGGGCAACTCAATATCCAGGTATCTATTTCTAGATTTTCTTTCACAATTTTTTATGTTCTTTTTTTAAAACACCACTTGGTATAGAAAGGGAAATGTAAGAGGTTCGGAGAAGTATGAAAGTACAATTATCTATGTTTATCTAATCTGTCAGAATAGGATGTTTGGGGTACTCCGATTGCTCACTAACTGTGAACATTTTGGTTGTCCACACACGGCTTAAGAGAACCTTTGCGAGGTAGGTCGCACACGGAACATTCAGCTATAATAACCTGTTACTGCTGCGACAAGCAACGGCGTCATCCCGCAGTAGTCTGCGTCGATTCGTGCGCCATGTTTCATCAGCATCTTCACGATCTCGAGGGAACCATTCTCGGCACAGTCGTGGAGCGCCGTGTTGCCTTTCAACGATTTACGATTCACGTCCGCTTTCAGGGCGAGTAGGTACCTGACGATGTTGTTGTGGCTTTTGTAACAGGCGATCATCAGACTCGTGTGACCATGACGGTTCGCCATCTCAATGTCTGCAATCAAGAGATATCTAGGTTTTAACCTTTGATTGTGCTTCTGTCTTATTTCACCGCGGAATGGTTGTGTTGAGGCCAGTGTATGACAGACAACGTGTGAATACTCGACCACGGAAAGACAACACCAGGGATTGAAAGCAGTTATGAGATCGGTCTCGGTCCTGAAACTGTTATGAGAACCGAGACAATGTTATATAACTAGACTACGGATGTTTATGCTAATTCGAACTTTCCAAGATAAATTTTGGAAAACCAGACATAAGAAGACACTGACTTTCTTCGTCAATGGTTCTATAACTTTGCAAATAAATTAATACATATACTAAATATTATTGAAATTTCTATTTTATTCAGGTCTACACATTCACTTAGGCTATAAATGAGTAAGTTTGCAGTCTAGTTATAACTGTTACGACTTTGCAGTTACGAAAAACATTAAATATTACTGTTACAGATTATGTTTAAGTTTGCAACGTTATAATTTTACAATTTCACAATACTAATATTTTTGTTTTTCCTAATTTAAAGTAATCTGTTTTCTAATTGGTTTATCCAAAAATTAAAGAAAAACTATTTCATTATACTAGGTAAGTAATATATTTAACGATCAATATAACATAAGTATCGATTCCAAAACCGTTTTGAAACCGATATAAAACCGAAAAATAACAGTTATAGAATCAATATAGGACCGATATAATATCTCACAACTATAGATATAATCTCATGACTGTTTCCGTCAGAATCGATGTATAAGAGTTTCAAACAGTTATTTTCGGAACCATTTCAACCCCTGGATAAAATAGATAGCCATAGAACCCTCCCCCATCCCCATCCCTTTCTGTCCTTCCGCCACCATTGGCCAATCAGCGATATACAGCCGAGCCCACGAGATCTTGTCAATCGACCGCTTCAAAACTATGTATACAGGGTGTAACAAAAATGTTGCAGGTCCCTCATGAGACAATTTAGAACAAATTTTTTTTTAGCAAAAATATTAACCTCGACCAATCAGAGCGCGAATCTGCCGACCGAGTTCTCGCGGTAACGTTGGCTACCAATCACAGCGCGTACGTCGGCAGATTTGCGCTCTGATTGGTCGGTGTTTTTCGTTAATATCTCGTTAACAAAGCCTCCGATAACATTGTTGCTAAGAAAAAACTTGTTGAAAATCGTCTCACGAGTGTCTCATTCCAAGGACCTGCAACATTTTTTTTACACCCTGTATATCCACGACGTTGATACGCACCTGCACCGTAATTGACTAGAAATTTGACGATTTCGAAGTAGCCGTCGAAACAAGCCGCGCGCAGGGGCGTCGATCCTGTTTTGGTGGTTGCGTTCACTTCCGCGCCTTTTTTCACCAGCAACCTTACCAGAGCGAAGTGACCAGCAGCCGCTGCGCACCACAGGGGTCGCGCGTCTTCTATCGTTTCGCCGTCGAAGACTACTGTCATGGGGAAACAACGTTGCATTAGATACTGGAAGTTTCTGTTTTTGTGTAATCTTTCTATGATTCGAGTATCTCGAAAATTCCGATTTTTTGTTAACAACCGCCAGGATTGTAAGTGGCACCTGAATAGAAGTATTGGGGAATTTTTAATTTTTCCTGATATTTGGCTCTCCAGAGTGAAACCAGCCAGCTTACAAGTTAATATGGGTTTTCTTATTTTTATATCTTAAAAACTATGACAGATATTTAAAAACTTCTAGTTTTTAATTAAATGAATAAATTTTTATTCTGATATTTATTTTTATATGTTGTATAGTTTTCAAGATATACAAGGAAAATAGGGGGTTGTTTAACCCCGAAGAATTGAATATCAGCAAGAATGAAAAATTGCTCGATGCTTTTATTAAAAACCTTACAAACCTGTGGGGTTTAAAGAAAAAAATCAAAATTCTCGGTGTACCGAAGTTCCTTTGCCAGTAACGTTTTTTTTTATCCTTCTTATCTTTCGTCGTTCATCGTTTTAATATCTGTTCAACTCTACTATGGTCCTCCAGTTTAGTCAAATCTAACTCTGTTCTTGTTTCTCGAAAAATTTCTCTAAACGCGAAGGAGAAGTAAGAGTTGTTACTGATACGTGTAGTTCTGATTTCCAGTGTTAACAACCGCCATTTGAATGTAAAACAATGCAAACGCCGGGAATAGAAAGCCAGCTGAAATACTCGCGTCGGTGAATGTGCTACTAATATAATACCGAACATTGAAATCGATAGAAAATCGATCAAAGTGTACTACTATTCGTTGCTTCGAATTAAATGTTTTTCCTTTTCAAACGTTTTCGTTTTTCTGTATCGCCATCACTGGCAGAAATGTTTTTGAAGGTACATCACCGGGTGACTTAAATCCGTAGGATTTACAATTAAAATCCTTTCCAAGAATCCATTGTTTCAAATGAACTGTATTTATAACAGAACCGGATATTTTATGATTTGGATTTCACCTTTTTCGGTGAACGATTCAGGACCGCAATAATATTGTTTGTTGGATCACCGGCGGATTCCATTATGACGAAAATACATTCTGAATGACCATTGTTTTCCAGGATTTCGAACGTTCGTTCTTTTGTAAGGACCGCTTCGAGTGGAAACGTACGAAAGAACGTTAATCAATCGATACCTTTAAGAATTGCAGAATTTCCGAAACACACAAGGGCGCGACAGTATTCGAACGGTGGTATATTTCGAATTTAAGTGAATAAAAATCGCACGATTACATAATGATTTTAAAAATGTAATATCCATAATTTCGTTACAAAGAAGAGTAATGTAATATTTATGGTACTTCCTCTACTCTATTATCCGTAATTCCTCTACTTTGCCCTCATTTTGAAACGCTGCATCTTGAAAATAAAACATTTACGGATCTTTTTTCCCAGCAGGTACAGCTTTTGAAAAAATCAATTTTTTTTAAATATGAAAATTTTCACTTTGTAGGTGTGTTGTATTTAGGGTAAATGCACCAATGAATGAACACTTAAGAGATTTTGTAACTATTAAAGTCGACTTTTAACTGATAATAATATTAATATATGTTCCGCACATAAATATTAAATTTTTTAATATCTATACCTTTTCACTGGTATGTGTTCATTTACTGGTGCATCCACCCTATATAAGAAAAAAGTAAAAATTCGTTGAACAATGTCATTAAATCATGCAATCCGTATGACTATAACCACCGTTCGAATATATTTCTGTATAATGAACGCTAACGATATAGCGAGGTAGAAACCTCAAAGGCGCTCAATTAATATTTTCCATCTTGTAGGCAGTAAATGACAATTGACTGAGATGTCACTAAAGTTTGTAAACGAACTACCCTTTTCTAAATTAATTCTCCCCGATGGTGCACCAATTTGGAAAATTTTGAAAATGTTACAACTTGAAAATCCTTCGAGACAGCGAATGAAGCTTCCTTGTTTATTGCCCCCGTTGAGTTTATTACCTCATTCTAATATCGTTACCGTCGACTATACCTGTGCCTCCCGTCTGCCGGAAGTTCCGCAATTTTGCAATTCGTTGCTCCGTAACTCCGATGACGTAGCACAAAAAACGTTTCGAGTCACCGAGGATTTTGAGAGAAAGAGACAGACAGGTGATCAGCGAGGGGGAAGACATTACCTGACCCGGATTGCTCGATATTCGCGCCACATTTTTCGATTAGGTATTCGGCCACGTCGTAATGTCCGTTCCGACAGGCCATCACCAGCGGCGTCGCGCCGTTTGTCTTGGCGTCGACTAATATATCTACCTCATCCTTCTCGCGTTGATGCAAGAACACCTGAAACGAGACGAGAACACGCGACACGTGAGAACAGTGGCACCGAAAAACAAAAACATATGTACGTGCCAGGTGTACAAATTAAGCTCTTCAGGGACGAATTTATTAAGATCGGAAAGAATGTTTTTATTCTTCGGGTGACAGAGACCAGCAATCAATTGGTAGAATATCGTTTTTTGTTGGGGAATCTCCCAGTGAATATTAACAGTAGAACTACTGACGATAAAAATCGGTGGAAAAACGTGAAAAACTTATGAAAATTTAGAAATTGATTTAGATAGAATTTCTTTACATCCGTATTCTAATAAAAGGTGCAAAAGATCTGCGAAAATGTATTGTCATAACATTTTAATCGTTGTTGTAAGAGAGTATTGACAAGTCATTTTGACTTGCTTGGTAGTTCTAGTGTTAATTACAGTTTCGGAATGATGTTTGAATGAAAGAAAAACTAAACGTACCATTTCTTTTCGAGAGAGGATTGGCCAACTTCTCGAGAAATGGAGTAAATGTGTAGGGAGTGATGGGGAGTAGTTTCAAGACTGGACTATCTTTTAGCTTCTTTTTTGTAAATAAACAACAAATTTATGAAAAGGTCAGCAATTAATTTGTACATCTGATGTTTCTAGATTCTTAGAAAGAATAATTCGTATTAGGTAGGTACTGTTCACGAACTGTTTACGAACACCAGTGGAGATGCACCTTAACGTTCGAAAACTTTTCGTCGTTTATATTGTAATGTGATCATTTTGTTTCCCTTCTGTACCTGTTTTCAATGAAAAATAGTAGGAGTTTAGACACAGGAAAGTTATAATTAATGTGTGATCGTTATCTGTGTAATAATGTTAATTGAGAAATGATTTATAGGACAGAACGATAATATGTAGATAACCGCGGGTATCACGGTTTGATGCTCGTTCATATTTAATCGGGTTACGTTATCTAATCGTTAAGGTTTCTAATGACATAACAGGACTGCGGATATTATGCATTTATAGCGTTTACGATTACGTAAAACGGGAACGAAGTAAAAGCTCGGGTTTTAATATTGTTTTTGTTTCGTTCGTAACTTAATAAAGTCGCTTCGGAAGAAAATACATTTTTACCTTCGAAATTTTCATTTTAAATGCAACTCGACAATAAAAATATATTCTCGATTATAGAAACAAAAAACGTTCTTGTATATAAAACACGACGTGAACAATTTAATAAAGTCCAATTCAAGAAACGCTAGATCGTAATTCAACCATTCAGTGTCTAAAACGCTAGAACCACGATTGTCGAACAATAAATATCAATCCATTACAACATCCAGAGAGGGTCACTACTTCATCCGCAGATAACAATTAAATTAAATCCCCTCCTATCTTACTCGCTCATTTTAAATCTCATATCGATTCAATAATATAAACAACGCTTGATCTAAACTTTTCCCACTTCAAACACTGTCTGAAACATTATCTGAATCTACATATGCGCATCGATTATACAATCTAAACCAGTGAAACTTCAATCGGACACGCCAGAAATGATTTCGAAGCGACTTAAATACTCTGGCACTGTAAACTTACGTTCGACACTACGGCACCCGTTTTGAACCGTTCGATGGATTCACTTCCGGCGCAAGAAACAGAATTTTCGTGGGGGTAAATTCACTCTCGTATCGTCGACAAAATGAAATCTCCGCTCCGGTAGAGATCCACGGCAGAGAACGTTTAGACGAAGTACCACGAAACACTCGTCACCGACGGATCCTTCCTTCGGCGAATAATAAATATGTAAAATACGTCGGGTCCTCACTTTATGTAGCCGCACAGACACATACGCATGTACACGCGGCACTCGACCAGGCTCTTCCCAAAACTGCTCTGTTCTTCTCTTACGTGTACTCGAGAAACGCTTTTGTTCCACTCGTACACTCTCTCCCTCTCTCCCACCCACTTGCGTACACTTCTACAACTCGATCGTCTTTTTCACGTTAAAATCCCCGATACAGATCGATTTCCCGCACTCTTCGTCTCACCTTTCCATTCCGTCCAACCGATTTCACGCGCCCGTACCACTTCCATTCACTGGACGATTATAAATTCGAAGACACCGAAAACCGTACGACGAGCATTCACCACGACACATCGATGACTGTTGCTCAATCTTGCTCCAATTAAAATCGACCGAACAACGTCCACGACTAACGTCTCATTTCTATATACTCTCTGTATAACCTTTTTATAACAAGACCTGCAATCAGTATCAGGTAACTAGAAGAAACAGAAGATCCTTCCTGCTGGACCTGGTCCTCTTCCACTAGCAATCTGTATCGTTTCTTCAAATTTTTAGCAGTACGCTGTAGTATTTAGTATGTAATCTAACGTGTCAGACGATTTATTCGACCGTGTTTTTCGTACAAGAAATTTTGTCTTCGTTCAGAGTTACAGGAAAAGTAGCTTTCCGTCCGCCTCGGACCACGTGGTGGTTGCACGACAACGAGTACACACGTTGCTCCTGGAGACGGTTGCGTCACACTCCGGTAAATTCACGATCGAGTCACAAAGTGTGTCGTACAAGCAACAGACTATACCGTGTCTATATGGACCTCGTAAAAAAATTATCGATTCGTGTCGAGATCTATCAGGATCGATGCGATCGCGTGAAATCGCAATACGTTCGATCGGGCCCAATGGCTGCAATGTTACGCCGTGTATCGATTTGTCACGGTTCGAGGAAAAACTTCGGGTGTCGACGACGAAAAAGTCTGGGACCACAACTGAATCCTCGCGCGCTCAATACTGTGCCCCCGCGTCAACTGACCGAGGAGACTCACGGGAACCCCCTAACCGATGATTGGCTGCTCCCGTAAAGACCCATCGTTCACCACACCACCGGTGGACGCGACGCGGACGGGTCCCGTTAAACGAATAATCGGTGACATTGGGGGGCCCGGTCGGCCCGGTTGGGAAAGACGGTGAATGGACGAAACATCGTTCTGCCTTCGACTATGGTGGGGAAGGACAGGGAGAGACCGGTCGTTTCTTCTATATATTTTCGACGGTCCCCGTTTATCACCTTCCCTCTCCCATCTTCTAGCCTTTGTCCACTCCCTTTTCGTCCCCGTTCGGTATATGGGTCTTTGCTCAGCCTCCTGCTAGAAGAGATCTGTGTACGTATATACACTACGATATTAGCCGGGGTCGTAAAACGGAGCATTGAGGAACGCGTTCTATTCTGGTTGGGCCCAAATACGCCTAGATTTCACCATTCACGTTATATTTTTCTGTGGATCCTGAAGACGATTCGGGTAGAGTAGTCGATTTTTTTCAGCCATGATTTTGCAGAGATTATGTACTGTGGCCGTGAAACGAATTATTGGCGAATGTGTTTTGTTCTGGTTGGGCCCAAATACGCCCAGATCTGACCTTGTACGATATATTTCCTCTTTGGATTCTGGAGGTGATTCGAGTGGACTACTCAGCTTTTTTAATTTATTATTTTGAGGAAACAATATACCAGGGTTGTGAAACGAATCATTGTCGAATGTGTTCTGTTCTGGTTGGGCCCAAATACGCCCAGATCTGACCTTGTACGATATATTTCCTCTTTGGATTCTGGAGGTGATTCGAGTGGACTACTCAGCCTTTTTAATTTATTATTTGGAAGACACGATGTACCATGGTCGTGAAACGAATCATTGTCGAATGTGTTCTGTTCAGGTTGGGCCCAAATACGCCCAGATTTGACCATTTATGATCCTAAAGTGGACTCGTGTAAGCTATAGAACTGTCTTTTGTCCATTTGCCCTATATTTATTATGTACTTTCATGTAACGAATGTGTGCTTTCGTTCAGTTTCTGTGCTACGAGTGCTGGCTCTCGATGAGTCTGAATGGGTTAACGAAACTATTGATCCTAGACTAACATTTTTATTTCGCAGGAAATGAGCTTTCTCTTTTGTTCACAATTTGTGTCGTTCGACGATGTGGGAATGTCGATGTTTGAAATTAGATTTTTCAGGCGATCGAGAAAGTGTGCCTCTGGAGCACCGCTAGGATGGTGACAGACGGTGCATTTACAACTGTGGTGAATGAATAAGATTATATGCTTTAGGGTCGGGGGCAATTCATTGAATAGCAGCATCCCAGTTCCATAAGGACAGATAAACCCTAGGTTATGTTTTCGGATGCATTGTAGTTGGGTTAACAGTCAATGGACCCTTGTAAGCCATCTGATCTGCTAGGCTAAAAACTGCTACTGAATCATTTCAAACTTTTACCACACACTCCCTTTGATTATGCTATATCTCTGTGTATAAGCTAAGCTCTTTTCTGCAAACCTATCAAATTTGTACATATCTGGGTCACCAAGACATACATACAACCAATGAATTATATTGCAGGCTATATCCCCAATAAACATGTTATGCTGATCGCAGTTTGTGTACACATATTCTTTACATAAATATTTATTTCAAACCTATTCTTCTTTGTGTAATCGATATTCATAAATCGGTGTTGAATGACCACTCTCAGAATCGCTGTCGTTCGGTTCTCTAGAATCGTTGAATTAATTTACGAGTCGTAAAGTTTTATGGGGAACCATTTGGCTCTTTTTGTGAACATAGTTACACTGTGTTTAGTAGCGGCGAGCTATCTTTCTTCGAAATGGACAGCACATTCCGTTAGTCGACTGACCGATTTTCTGTTTCGTGGGTCAGCCCACAGACTTTTCGGAGCCAAGCCAACGAGAAATGTAGGTAACGGGAACGAAGATAGTCGAAAGATCGCAGGTCGCTACTCGTGAACGATCGAACAGACGTTTTCTTTCTCTTAACGGTGAACGATGTGTAATTCGATTTCTTTGCTCGTGATCCATACTAATCTGGCGCCGTGGATTTATAGTGGCCCCCTTGATCGAGTCTGAGAGGCCATTTTGTCACGGATCGATCGAGTATTTACTTTTTCCCAATAATTTGAATTTTCCAATTTGTACATACCAACCAGAAAAAATTCA